ACTTTCGTTATCATGGAATTATAACAAAACCTGCCAATTCAATATAAATGGAAAAAAAATATTATATGGAATTGAACGAAAATGAAAATTTGCTTGATAATTCAACTACGCTTGTTGGAGAACAATAAAAACACTACACTCAACAAGCCACCAATAAAACTCAACTGCCTAACCTATAACCAAAGTCTCGTTTTAATTTGTTTTTAAAAAAAAGCGTTTGACAAACTTGCCCCGTATGCCGAAGTTGCCCCGGTCTCCCCTATATAAAGAAATGTTCTTTTATTATGATGTCAATAAAATATAATATGTTAGATAAATGTGCTAAAATATTTTTATTAAATTGCAGGATAACGCTTTCTTTACTATTACACTCGTGGAGATATAATGGAAATTTCCGTCTAAAATTTATATTTTATAACTCTAGTAGACGTCAATAAATAATATATATCCATTACTATAATAATACAAAGAACTTTATATCACTTTAAATCATAAGAAGAGAAAAGAGAGGGAGAATTCCAAATCGAATTTATTGTTGGAAGTAAATCAATAACACAGAATAAAGAAAATATATCAAAATATTAACAGATACGTTAAATATTTTAAAAGTATTGGAAGTATTCTCTTCGTGATATAATTATGGCACATAAAGGTAAGATTTTTACTGATAAATTAAAGTCAATCGTTTCCCTTACTTACTTTTTTTTTTTTCTTTGCCCTTTTCTTTAACACACTTTTCTCCTCCCATTACAAAGCTTGCAAATAAACTCTTTCAATCACGTGGTTCTTATCCCGAAATCAAGATACTTTATCTCGGGCCATCTTTCCCTATTTCTGTTCTGTGTGCACTAAGAGAATCTTTTCACAGACAAGTGAACAATTTTATGGCTAAATGCAAAGGGACTGAAACAATGTACAGAATACTTTTTCCATTGGTTAAAGTCTATTTTTGCACTGCAATATAAATTTTCCAAAATATTCGTTTAAAATTGTCTGCTTCTAAATCAGATGTTTTTCGAATTAAATGATATTGAATTCAAATTTAGGAAATTATGTATAAACAAAGAATTGGCATGGAACGGCATTGTACCTACTGCGATTACTTAGCTTTAAGATGTGTTACCTCATACCGAGTTATTTCGGGCATGATCCATAGCGTTAAAATAATTCGGTCTTAAAAGCAGAACATTTTTTATAGTGTTTTTATGAGCTCAAGTTTTTTCATAATTTCTAGTTTTGTGAGAATTTTTATAGCGATTTTAATATCACTTTAATGACGTGCATAATCGCTTAGTTGTTTTTAATGACTCTTTTAATTCCATTAATCTATTCGTTCTAAACTTCTTATGCACGGATTTCACTTGGATAAAGTTTTTTTTTTTTTCATATTTTCTGATGTCATAAACAACATCCACTAGTTTTTTATTTAAGAGATTTTATTATATAGGGTGGGGCATAATGGAGTCCCACATTTACGAGGTGAGTTTAATTAATTGTTAAAAAAACGGTACAAGAATATGAAAAGAACTTTTTATTTATTCAAAGTACATGTAATAAGGTTGTTTGATTAAATTTTAAAAATAATGTTGTCCAAATGTTGGCCTTCACGGGCGATACACATTTGAGTTGTTCTTATCACAGAAATGATAAATCTTGTTTTTTAAAAAACGCAATCTATGGTACTGATATGTAAAATTGTCCAAAATACTAAATGGCCTGTAACTATTGTTTGAACGGTATGTAAAATGATGTGTTATGTTATACAAATGAAGACAAATGGTGGGCAGACGAATAGTATTAGTTACCTTAAAACAACGTAATAAGTATTGAAAATTTCACAGACTTGTTCAAAACGTGTTTTCAACCATTCTGTAAAAGAAATCATTGTTCATCTACGAAAACATTCAGTAAATCATATTGTATTATTTTAAAATCGAATGAGATCTTTAATTTATATATATAGTCGAGACAGGTTCATAATAATAATAATAATATGCGCTGATCCCAAACAGTTAGGAGCTGAAAGTTGAAATTTGGTACACAGTTAGGGTACGTCACGAGAACGCAAACTAAGAAGGGACTTTTCGAAATTCTTTCCGTGAGGGAGAGAGACAGGATTAAAGCTTCGACAATGGAAGTGTTAACAATGGAATTATTGTTTGGATCAATGTCACAAGTTGGTGAATTTATCAACACTTGGCAAATAATTTGATCATCAACGTATAATGCATATAGATACGCGTTTCGGTCTTTCGCCACTCTTCAGTCTGTTACATAGATAGGTTGTATCTTGTGGACGTCTGTCAGAAATCTTCGGCACTACGTTTTCCCACTCCCCTTCCCTTTCCCGTTAACTTGACGGCCTCCCCTGCATGCCTCGCATCGTGCAACGTCTGACTCCCAGAGTTTTGCACATAGCTTCGCCTGCGACTGTATAAACATTCCATTTTAATAGTTGTAACCAGTTTTTATGAATTTCTATGCTTAGATTTTTGTTAATGTTATTTTTGTCTGTAGTAATTTTGTAGCTTTCCTTAAGTTTTCTTTTAGTACCAATTTTTTTTCTTTGTGTACTATTATAACGTCATTCTTAACTATTTGGCAGTTACGAGTTGAGCAATGTTCGTAAAAAAACCGAGTTGATTCTATTATATTTTAAATCTGCGATGTGTTCTTTTAATCTTGTTCCTAATCTTCGTTTTGTTTCTCCAATGTATACGTTTGGTGGTTCACATGTGTAAGGTATTTTATAATCGACATCAGTAGTGTAGTATTTATTTGGTTGTTTATTTATGCCAAATTTAGCCTTCTGGATTTTTTTTTGCAAGTTATAAGTTGGAGCAAGTTTTACATTTATTTTATCGAAACTTTTATCTATCTGTTCAAAGAAGCCACGAATCAAGGGGAAGGATATGTATCTTACTCTGTTTTTATCTTTGTTTCGTTTATTTTCCTGCTTTTTATTGTTGATTTTACTTTCCCAGTTATTTATTATTCATTGTGGATAGCCGTTTAATAGGAATTTAGTTCGCAGTTCGTTAAAATGTTTTTTTTTTCTTCTGTAGTGAGCTTGTTCTGTTCACAATTTTTTCATACTTCATGTTGAATATGTTTCCTTTTATGTACTGTGGAATGTTTGAATTGTACTTTAACATCTTTCCAATAAAACAATAGAAATGTTAAGAGAAAGCTACGTGCAAGATTTACAGGCGCAGATGCGGTTTTCTGCGTTTTTGCAAGAAATCGAACATATTTTTAGACCCATCTAAAAATCTTTTAATTAGTCTGGAAACGGGGGGACATAATTCTTGTATTCTGTGAAAACGGGTGAAATTGGCTGTAATGTAATAATCTTAATCTTCGCTATCGTTACTCTTTGCCGGAGCAACACTGGGCCTATCTGCTAGTAGATATATAACGTAAACTGTAAATTATATGTAAGTATTCTAAATAATCTTCACTTAAACATTTATACTTTTAACTTTGTTCAAATTATTGCAACAATTTTCTTTTCAGTTTATATTCCCGCTCGTTACGTATTGGTATTCTCTATATTTTGGATGTATACAATAATGCACTGCCAAAGAGCTGTGCTGAAAGTCGCTATTTTAGCCATGCTTAATCATTCAGCCATCTCCAACACGTATAATACAACTTCAAAAAAATGCCCAGCAAACTCTCAGCAAAATTCTACATCCAGTTACAAAGAGGTAAATGTTTAAACATAGAATGTAATAATATTTAACTAAGAAATTTCAGTATCAAATAGCATGTTTTTTGAAACCTGTTTGTGTCATTGTTTTTTGAAACCGTATCCTGTTTTATAATTGTGGCGTAGTAAATACTAGTATTGTGTGTTTTATTCCAAAGACACATGGCAAATTTTCCATCAAATTCCTTGTCTGTGATCTTGGTGTTGGCTTTTTTGAATTTTTGTTTGATGGATCTTGCCGTTTCTAGTTTCTGTAGATTTGTTGATTTGTCTTTTGAAACCGTGTCCTGTTTTATAATTATGGCGTAGGAACAGGACACGGTTTCAAAAAACAAATCAAAAGCTAGTTACGGCTAATAGATATATTATATTTTAATTAGTAGATGTTATCGATGCGAGAATTGGCATTTAGAGGGCGTAGAGCATCTATGAAATCTAATATAACAGAGTTAATTATATTAAACTCGCTTATTTATTAAGTGCGTTAGATAATATATTAATTAAAAATACATTTAGAGAAGTCTACGGTTTTTACTGGCTTATCGAACAAACGAATACGAATGGACCCTAGAGGCCTAGATTATCACTGACTAAGTGCCGCTGGAAGTCGGCTTCTTACAGAAACACAGCTTCCCTATTATGAAATGTCACGGCACGCCACTGAAAGATAATAAATAATATAGGTACAGTACTCATACAAAAAATAGTACTGAGTTATTAATTTCGTAATAACACTTAAGCAATTTACAAATTCTAGTTACGTAAAGGTCTACGGTTCGCATTACTTACGTAACTCGGGATATTACGGTATTCAAGTCCCGACCGTTTGAAAGCCAGTCAAATTTCATTATATTTAAATTATAATCATTCACTAAAATTAGTTTTTCAGACAGGAAAATTGTCATGAAGAACAGAACCACACACTTTCAAAATTACTACCACAAAGTAGAAAAGAAGAAAATTATCCAAAATTCCGATCACTCTAAACTATGGAATAGAAACTTTGCTTCAGTGAAATCTAAGTAAATTTTAGCCCTGTTCAATTATGATATGAATGTTTTTTAAATAATTTTGATACTATACTGTACATTATTACCATGTTTGATTTTTGACAACATATCATTATGAACTTCGCATAAATACTCTATAACTCACAGTGTTTAAAGAAATAATTTCAAATAAATTTATGATTGCAATAATGCCAGAAAATTGCTAGTTAAAAATACCTTTATATTCTTCAATGCAACAGAGTATTAATATTCACATTCATGTCAACATACATTAAACTAAGACCATAAAAACTCTTCAGTTTTTTTTATTTGAATTCTTGTGTTTCTTTTGTAGATTCGATTATAGGTTCAGCAGATTGGTTTGGTTTGCAAATGTTAAGAAGGCCGTACCAGTGGCTTAGCCTTTGAAAAGAAGTAAGAAGAGGAAGGTATAGGGTTTTGGTTGAAGATGGGGCAAGAAAGATAGGAAAGTGTGAAATAATGTTTTATGGCCAGCCAGCATCGAGCCCCATATATTGAGATCATAGAGTAAAGTATACATAGAGTGGGTCAAGGCCGAGTATGTGCTCCGTTATTGGAGTAGATACATTAAGAAATAATAATAATGATGATAATAATACTAAAATAAAAATAAAACATTGAGGAAAACGAAGTAATTAATCGAAGATATAAACAATCATCGAAGATATAAACTATAATCGAAGATATAAACAATCATCCGCACTTACTACACCATCACAAGACTCGAAACAAACATGACAGCAGCATACAGACAACAACTACACCACATATTCACACAACAATATCCTCACCTCACTGTCACCGAACAAAGGGTTGTTGATCAAAAACGAACAATTATACACAACAACCTTATCCCACAAACAACACTTGAACTTATCAAACAACAGGNCGGTATTGTGACGATAATTAAATGCTCGCCATGTTTTTTAATTTATTTAATTGAAAATATATGTTTTCCACCTCAAATAAGAATTGACGGCCAGAGAGCAGCCTACTGCTCTGAGAGACCCGGGATCAAATCCGATCGACTCGATAAAACCCTAAGAAATTTTTTGGTCAGTAATACATATGTCCTTCACAACCAGGTTTCCCAATGTGAGCTTGGATGAACCCATAATAGGCTTGCTAAAAGAGGCCCTGTTAGTGCCACAGGGAAAAAAAATGTTACAAAAATACCTCAAATAATTACTGCTGTGTCTTGCCCCTGTACATGATATTCTTCCGTTAAGAATTGAGTTGTGCCGTTCATGTATCTAAGTTTTTTCACAGTGGAAAATATTTTTTATAAAAATGACGTGACTTATCATTTGCATTGGAAGTTCACATATGGTAAGTGGAGCCTAATGCTTCTACGCTTTTTATATCTAGTTTTGCATTTAATTTATCTAACACTTTTTTCTACCGTCAGGAACGACGGACACAGTGAAAATGTATAAATCTACAACTATTTTTTTTCAAATTGCAGCTCAATTAATTGAGACATAGGATGGGTCCTCGGTTTACATTTTTGTGCTGCAGCGTTAGAGAAACAGTACAGAATACGTGCAAAATCTAAAGAATTGTTTTTTGTAACAATAAGTTTAATTTAACATTGCAATTGTGTAGCGCAGTTTAAAATAGTCTAAAATATGTAATACTTTAAAAAATCCCATAAAAAAACTACTGGAACCAGGTTAAAGAAGTAAAGCTCAGCAGAAACATTAAGTAAAGGAAACTTTTGAACGTTATGGCATAAGAATAGTGGAAACACATTTGACAGTAAGACTCAACATGTTTATAAAGTGTCGTTACTCAGAATACAATTACATCAAGTTTCAGAGAAAGCAATTTTCCCATAAAATTAAACAGGAAAAGTAAGCATCGTCACAGAAAAAAGACTCGAGCTTTACTTTGTGCTCCAAACTTCCTTCGATGATACTGCTAAAAGATGTTCTAACCTTCACCCAAATAAATGTAGTGTGTGACAAGTTTAAGGCACTAAGTAAAGCTCAAAGTCTTTTGTTGTGACAATGCTCATTTTTCGATTTATTATCGTGATGACTGCTTCTTCCTAAACTTCCCACAGTCGTAGTTTGTGTGATGTGCGCTTTATTCACATGTTAAATCTTACTGTCAAATCTGTTTCTACTATTCTTATGCCAAAATTTTCAAATGTTTCCTGTATTTTTATGTTTCTGTTGAGCTCAACTTTTTCTACCTGGCTTCACCAGTTTTTCAATGGAATTTCAATTATTATTCACTTATCAATAACTCGAAAAAAGAATAGTTTTATAAAAACTCTATATTTTCTTTAGTGTCTCAGAGAATAAATGCATAAAATTTTGTGCAGATCGATCAAGGGAATAATTAGTTAATAAGAGAAGGTACCATCCGGAGAGAAACGGGTGTCCAGGTGGTAGACTATACTTTCCTTAGTGTTTCAGAACATAAATATATTAAAAAATATAATAAAGAGCTAAGAATAGAGACAGTCAAACGTTATCTCATTCGTATAAAGCAGTAGACACGAGGTTTCAAAACGTGGAGATTTGCAAAAAAAAGTCGGAAAGTCGAACTCGACACGATTCCAATCTTTTCTTGATATACATAAATACATAAGAACAAAAGTAAAATGGCAAATTATTTTATAAATATGTTTTTTNTAACGTCTACTTCTAATACCAAATTACTTAATATCTAATCATTAATAATAGAAAATTTAGAGCCTGATTAATTACGGTGATTATTTGGTTAAGTATCATAAAGGCAAGAAGGGGTTAAGAAATAATAAATTAATGATGATAATAATAAAATAATAATAAAACATTGAGGAAAGCGAAGTATAAACACGCGAGTTACAAAAATTTTTCCTGACAATTGTTTGTGGCGGAAGACAATGAGAAAATAATAATACATAGTATGTTCTTTGACCTTGGAGTGTATACATTAAAAGAAATAATAATCAATGAAAATAAGAATATAACATTAAGAAAAACGAAAAATTTACACGCGAGGTACAAACTTTATCCCAACAATTGAATGTGGCGGAAAACAATGAAAAAAAAAAATAATAATAATAATACATAGGATGTTCTCCAACCTTGGAGTGTATACATTAAAAGAAATAATAATAAATGAAAATAAGATTATAAGGATTATAGACAAATAATATAACCATTGGATTAACCGCTTTATCTGTATACTGCAGAGAATTTATTGTACATGAAATAACAAATAAATGTGGCCTCTTCTCATGCANGTATATAGGATGTTCTCCGCCCTTGGAGTGTATACATTAAAATAAATAATAATAAATGAAAATAAGAATATAACATTAAGAAAAACGAAAAATTTACACGAGAGGTACAAAATTTATCCCGACAACTTAATGTGGCAGAAAACAATGAGAAGAGATCGCGACAACAGAACAGCAAACACAGTGATTTCACTGCCCTGTTAGTCTGTACCCCTAACAGCTGTTTTGCTACAGGTAATAGGAAATGGATTCCCCTAGACGGGGTCTCCTTTTACAGAACCAGGGGTCAAAACCCTGTTGACGCGAGAAAGAATAAATTATACAAACACATTTCACGAGGAGGGCACGTGTAGATTAATTGTGGGCCTCCATAGGGGTAGATGGTAGTTGGACTAGAGGAAAAGACTCTCTGTTCCACTTATGAAGTCTTTAAAAGCTGAGAAAGTTTCAGTGTTGCATAAAAATTCCTTACACCTGCAGGGCCAATGGTGTCCCTGTGTGTACATCCTCCGGCAGAGTATAATGCGGACATTCGCAGACATTCTACTACCAAGCCGTACTTCCCTCTATTTTTCAATTTCTCTAATAAAACGTTAGAATAACCTCTTAACTTTTACAGCGGAAATGATAAATGCAAGATACGGAAACTATATGCGTCAGGAAGTTCACAAATAACAGAATATCAAATCAAATTGTATAAAGTCCTAAAATCTAAGACGTAACACCAAAAAGCGGAACGCTAATGTATTAACAGCCTAAGCCATTTTCCATTATAAATTGTTTGTTGTAGTAGTTGTTATACAAACTATATATTATTGTATAGCAAAATATAGTATATCTACATTATACTATACAATTCTACTCGACAATTATATTCTTAATCAAACACTTATATTCTATCCTTTCTCAAAGTGGGCAATAACGCCTTATTGTGGGCATTGGAGGCTTTCAAGGGCAGTAGAAGCTTCAGTGATTTAAATATGAGTTTTATTTCTTCTCATTGAAACATTTTTTGATCTCATAAATAGGATATGGGTTACACCCTATCTATCCTATCCATATAATAATGCATGTTTAAACATTATATTTGCAATAACTGTTTTTAAGATATGCAACAGATGGTAATGTAAAAAGGTAAGTTAAAAAATATGGGGGCACTTGATTTTTTTTATCTTAAAGTGGGCGGTGGTCAAAATAAGTTTGAGAACCTGTGTACAATACCATAGTATTTGAATCTGTTTGAGAATGTTTGTATTTAGAATTAATCTACGAGTGGGTGGTCTCAGAGTGTTAAGTGTATGACATAATAACAGTGTGGAAGGAATCTTCTTAATGACGATGTGTTACGTTTATTGAGTCGTCATATTAAACGATGATTTCAGTAATAATCCTTTATTAAGTGCATCAACTTTTATTGCTATTCTTTAGGGTTCTTATGTATGGACACAACCCACTCAAGGAATAATTCTGGGAAGTGAATATTACGGTTTCGTATTTGCCGAACTCGTTGGAGGGACCATTACTTTTTTATTCGGTCCAAAAAAAATTTTCATAATTTCTTCATTACTCTCTTCAATATTATGCATTTTAACACCGTTTTGTGCAGATGTCGGTGTTTCAGTGATATCATTATGTCAAGCTATCTTCGGATTTGGACAGGTAAAAATTAACTTTTATAATGCCTTTGAAGACAGGAGAATAATAAGAATCATTTTAATCGTAGGGTCTTGTATTTTACGGATCTTTTACACTGTTAGTAAGATGGAGTCCAGAAAACGAAAAATCCACATTATCATCAGTTTCATTATCTGGTATGCAAGTCGGTACGTTTGTTGGTTTAATTACGACAGGATATATCTGTGAACACATTGGATGGCCGTTTAGCTTCTACATATTTGGTGAATAAAAACATACAAATGCTTTACCAATGTATTTATGCGACTATATCCTTTGTAATTTGTATATTTGACAGGTGTATGTGGGATTGTCTTTTCTTTATGTGTCACGTTTACAGTTTATGACAGACCTGAAAAACATCCTAGAATATCTGACAAAGAATTGACGTTTCTTAACGAATGCGTAACAAACGTCGCCTCAAGAGAAACGGTAATATTATTTTTTGCTGTAATTTATTTCGATTAATCACTCATAAATACATTTTTACTTGAAACAGAAGTTGAATATTCCCTGGAAACAAATTTTAACATCCAGAGTAGTATGGATATTAGCTCTGACGAAAATTTGTGTTGGTTTCGGTTATTATACAATATTGACTAAGATTCCATCATATTTAGAGATTATTCTTCACTTTCCTATCCAGCAGGTATGCTCATTTTTATAAATAAGTTTTACATGAACAAATTTATGAATATTATCCGTGTTTTAGAATGGAATTGTGAGTGCATTAGTTTATTCAGTGGATGCTATAGCCATATTTATTTCTGGTTTCATTGCTGATTTCATAAAAGCTCGTAAATATTTAAGTATAACTAATATCAGAAAACTTTGCGAGACAATTGGTAAGAAACTGCAGTCTTAGTTTTATAAAATTTTTTCTAAAATTTCAGTCAAAACTTTAAAACGTATTTCCATATTTCAACTGTAGCTACGTGTGGTCCGGCATTAGGCATCTTAGCGATTTCATTTCTAGGCTGCGAGAGTACAAATGTAATTATTTGTTTAATGATTGGAATGGGATGTTTTGGCTTTAATGTTTCAGGAGATGTTGCAATAGCGCTTGATTTAGCTCCAGAATTTGCAGGTAAGTTATTGTTTTTGTTAATTTTAACAATATACTGTATTTACTTAAATCGTTTTTCCTGACAAAATGTCAAATTGTGAAACTGTTCTAACGAAATTAAGTGATAGTATCTAAACAGCCAGAAAATTGACTCGGTATCCAGAATTGAAACAATGTTGGGCACCGTTTAATTGCATTGCTGAAATTAAACAATATTTTTTCGGTTTGGCCTAAACATTTTTGTAAGTTTTCAAAACGGATGAAGTGTTGAAAAGCTCGATATTATCATAAAGCCGATCAAATATTCATGTTTTTGCAACATGAATATTTGATATTCTTATTTTTATGGTACCCATCTACGGTTTTGAGTTTAAACATTTTTGTTTAGAAAATTTTCGGGATAATATTCCCAAATTATAGTTCGTTTTTTAACACGACCTCTGACCTATTAAGAATCTGAAAATAAGTCGAAATCTGTAGATTTTGTCATCTAAAAGATGAACAATAAAGATTGTAAAATTTTTGGATAACAAAAAATATTTTATTTAATGTTTAATAACTTTTACTTAATTTAATTTCAATCTAGGTGTCATTTTCGGATTGACTAGTAGTTTATATAACGCTGCAGGTATATTCTCACCCTATGTTGCTGGAGTTATATTAGATAAAAACGTAAGTCAAATCTTCTTCTAATTTATGTTTACTTATATAACATATTCATAATTTTTTTTTATTAATTTTTCATATAAGGAAGGAGACATGATTCAATGGAGCTACGTGTTTTATATGGTCTCTTCGGCTTACATTCTGGGTGGTGTAATTTTTATATTTGGAGCTACTGCAAAAGTTCAACCTTGGGCTACCATTAATACAGACAAGAAACAAGACAACAATTAATCATGAATATAAATCGAATTTTATTTGGAACGATAAAAATTCTGCTTATAGAATAATTAGAAGCCAAGACATGTAAAATTAGATACTCTTTAACTTTGATCAGAAAAATATCACAGTTGGCGGCTATCGGTTTCCTTCGAAGGATTCGCATGTTTTCATTGTTAATTTTTCAATGGCAAAAAAAAAATTAATAAATCTGTTATTCCCCGCTGTAGTTTATAAAGTACATACGTATATATATTAATTTCCCATATGAATCTTAATTAATTCAAATAATTCCTCTATTTTTGCAGTTGTTTTGTGTTACGGCAGTCAACAGAATAGTTCAATTTTTATAAACTAATTCCTCTATCGAACATTAAAAATCGTCGAAAAGATTAAAATTATTATATATAATAATATTCTTTTCTAACAGGAATTAATCATTTTTGCATTAGAAATTTACAATTCAGATTAGAATAGGAATATTTCTCAATTAATCCTCTCATTTTCCTTTGCAGAATGGAGAATTTCAGAGAGTTGAAGAAGTTGCGCATCTCGGACAATGCAGAGTCCGAGGATGACGCCTGGTGTTGGCCAGGCGTCATAAGGGTGCTTCCGAAAGATGCGCAGGAGAAGTGTCATACAACGGACGTCAAACGGGTGGTAGTCGTAACTCCGGACGACACCGCCTCGTCTCTCGTCCAATACCTCGAGGGGCGATATCCGGAGGTTCCGGAATGGACGGTGGACACATCGTCGGGTGAGACCGGAGTGGACAGAAAGGAGTCCGAAGAGTCCGTCGAGCGTAAAAGGCCTTGGTGGAAAAGATTGTTTTGCTGCTGGAAGACAAAAACCTCTTCTCTGGCCAGGCCGTCTTGCGCAGATTTCGACTTTTCACCGAATGTAACATCGCCATTCGGAAGTGACCTTTCACCCGAATATGACACTCACCAGGAATTGACCTTTCACCGGCTACGACTTAATCGATTGGACTTGACTTTTCATCTCAATTTACGGAGGGATACTTCGACATCATTCGAGATTCAGTTAAAGAGTATAGAACAACGACAGTGACATCAAGCAGTGTTCTCGTGTTTAACTAAAGACTGTTTAAACGACCATAACTGGCCAAAACGATTTATATTCTACAGACAATTACAGTGTATTTCATCCGCTAAAAACTTTCGCCGCGAAATAACGAATATTCGCCACTAAAAGGCATACCAGACGAATTTAAATAAAGCAAAAGATACACGTAGTCGGTTTGTGTACTCCACAATCATATTTGGTTCAACAATTAAATTTGTACATAAATTCTTATAAAAGTAATTATATTTTATATTAAATGTTTACAGATTCGATATTTATTAAAGTCGCGTAGTTTTTGATGAATTTATAATTAAAGTAATGTTTATAACAGTTATGACGGATGACGAAAACAGAAAAAATTTGCCCGATTGATAACGAAAGAAAAATATTTAAATTTAATGAGCCAAATATAATTTGAAATATAATTTTTGGGCCCAGTACAGCCAGGAAGGATGCGCGTATATCGGAGGTCAAAGCAAAGCCCTGTAAATGATTTCAATCCTTGGGATTCTGATGATGAATGTGATCAAGACCCGAGATCAATCATGCGGACTGATCCTGGACTTCCTCAATGTGAACGATCCCCTAGTAACACGCAAACCCCGAAACCTTGCCCATACAACTTACATGGGAGAAGAATCAACTACTTTGCCATGGTTCAGTGAGGTAGGGAGTGATACTTTATCACCCACTTTTATGTTATATCTTAAGGGGGAGATATATGGTAGTGCCCACCATGTTTTTTTTTTCTTCCTCCGTTCACCAAGGCTTAAATGTGGTGTTTCTTTTATACTAAAATATCATTGTTTATATGTATTATTAGTAACGTTACGACAATGTAAATATTCGTATGTTATAATAATTGTCTATTTTATTTCCTAATTTGTAATTTTGGAATGTAACACGAGGGGGCGCTAGGGGCAATTGGTATATAAGGAGTGTAAAGGGATCATGGCAGTGCTGTGCGATGTCTATAATTTTAACATCGATGTTTGCCTAAGCATCGATGCTAAATTTCGATGTCGGATTTGACATCGATGTTTGATTGATGCCCATTGGAACATCGATGGTCAATCAAGATAAACTCAAACAATTTAAAAAAAAAAAATAAAACCGGGTTTGTTCGAACAGAAGTTCCTGACGCATGCGCAATGTCATTTTACAATGCGAAGAATAACGTACATGCCGGTTCTAAATCAGTTACAGTTAGGGACTAGGGACTTGCGTAGGAGTAACGTAAGTAACCTAAATTAAGAAAGAACAGGTACAGATAACTTAGCTCTATTTGATACGTGTACGATCGTACATGCAAAAATAAAGTCGACAGGGTTTTTTTTTTTACTATTTTCGCCCTGTGGGCACTGAGAGGGCCTTTTATAGCAGGCCCATTATGGGTTCGGCCAGGCCCACAATGGGGCGATCGGGTAGTGAGGGACGGGGCCTGACATATCCGAACGGACCATCCCCCGAAAAATTCCTGGGGATTCCTTGACCCGTCCGGATTCGATCCCGGGTCCCCCAGAGCGGTAGGCTGCCACCTTAACCGTTGGCCATCCGGCCTCAAATTCGACAGGTCGCGCGCCACAAGTCGGCGTAAACAGACTAACATTGCAGAGTTGCGGATGAGTTTCAATGAGTGTGAGTTCATTCCCTGTTAAAATAGTGTAAATTTGTAAACATATTTGCGAGAACTTTGTTTCATCGCAATTTCACAATTTCTACGAAATTCTCGGACTGTCCGGGTGAAAACCGAACAGGTGGTAACATTAGGAACAAAGAATGAACTGCATGCATCGATGAATCGAAATTCACATATTGCTAACATCGATTCACGATAGATGTTTCAAAAACATCGGAAGGTGGATGCATCGACGAACAAAAACATCGATGCATCGCACAGCACTAGATCATGGGATACCTTTTTCTGTTTGAAGACTTTGGCGGTAGTAAGGAGAGAGGAAAGGACCGAGCGAAAAGGTAAGAAGAATAATAAGAACTTGGATTAAAGGCAACTAGTCTTATTGTATGTATATTTCCCCTACGACCCCATTCTGGCTGTATTCCTAGTGTTAATGTACGATTACCTTTGCTCTTAGTGTTGTCTATTTTTTTTTGTTTACTCAAAACACGACACACCACAGTATTTTATTCTTATCCGGTAACTTAATTTACAGCAGTCGTCGTGATTTTATAAGACAGATTTAACCCGTTCTTCTAACGATGCACTTTGCATTTCTTTGGTTTTTGGACATTTTCGAACAAACCGAAATGAATTTCCTTTGTTGCTAGACTAATTCATTAACACCTGCACCTAATTTCAAGGGAGGGAGAAGTGCTCGAGATGGGTTCGAAACAAGACTTCAGACTAATTCATTACTTTAGGAGGGGAAAACGTTGTTGGGATGGGTTCGAACAGCAGTTTAGACCAGATAGATTCGCGTAAGTGGTCGCTTATTACAGTTGTTGTATGTTGTTTAGCAATGTCATCATAAAAATCACGTGGGACGATAGAATTTGAACTATGGCGGTCGGCAAGCTAAAAAGCTTTATTTCTACACTAATACGCTAATATATTTCATTTATACTCTATATTACTATCCGATTTAAATATTAATGTCAAATAGACTTACTTACTGCGTAAAGTATTGGGAATGGAGTAAGCGTAATTCGGCGACGAAAGTATTCGATATTCCTTTCTACGATTTAGAATATTTTTCCTATCCAAATTATTCGTTTTTCAGGTTTTTTATTTGCAATAATATCGAAGGCAAACTTAAAAAGTTTAATTGATATAACAAAGCAATCCCAGTAGACGCCATTTTCGACTACTGGCACGTGGCCTACCTACTGTAGTAGCTTGTTTACATTTACGGCTGGCAGATGGCGCGTTTCAATTGTAGGGTAATTTCCGCATGTGAGTACACACGACACGGAAGGACGACAGAACGGCAACTGTTTCCGTCGACGATTTTCGTCGTTCGTTGCCGCATGTGAGTACCAGGCTTTAGAGTATGTCTTCCACTAGGACCTTGACAGATAGTTTGACACATACTTCGAGTCTCGTTGTTTACATTTTGTGTCGCGCAAGAATTTTACGGTTTACTCGAGTTCGAACCTCGTGTGGGACCCCACACTTATACTAAGTCTCTATGGATAAAGTATTAGGTGCCAGAAATTTTTGACCGTTTTGACAGATGGCCGTCGAATGCAGGTGGTCGCCTAAGCAGTTTTCACTGTATTAAATATAATTTATCTTTTTAGTTTTATATTACAAAAGAGTGTATTTTTGGCTACATATAAACAAAATAAGAAAACTTGACGGTTATATTATGACATCACTTACAATAATTTACATTTCGCGCAATCATTTCTTTATTTCATTCAATTACAAAATATTACAGGCATATATCACAGCTTTTGTCCTTATTAAAAGTCCAATGGACACTAATAATGCCAGAAAAACAGCAACATTAAATCGAGATATTCTTGTTTTACTTCACAAAATCGCACTCCTCGTTCACAGTTATACTAAAGAAGAAATCTAAAAATTTCTCTAAAATTAGTCCCCTTTTTAGAATTTTATATATAAGCTTAAAAACGACATTACAGCCATCAATGCACCTACATCAATTGATGGAAAACATGTGATTAAAAAGAAGATATAACTGGTTTAATATGACAATGTTATTATGATAATGTGACAAATGCATTGATAGTTTTTCGATTTACAAAGAAATTATGGAAGGTACAGTTTTTTCTGTTATGAAAGCAGAAAGCTTCCTATAAATAATTCTTTTGTTTCTCTTTAGATTACATCAAAACGATCCTGAACAGGGACTTCATTTGTGTTTGGAAATCCAATTCAATTTCTCTTTGCGTAGCCTACTGAGCGGATACTACAACAAATCATCCAACGTTGAAACCCTTGCATAAGATCTCTCAGGACTCCATTTCAGGTATTTTTGTTTGTAAGATTCTGCCCTGTTTCATGAAATAGTGTAGAATGGTCTTCGGTTTTCTTTCATATTTACTTAATTTTCCAGAAAGAAAATGGCCGCAGCTGTGGTCAATGCTGACTCCAATGATAAAAAGACATTTTATTTGAACATCACTGAAGAAAAGGGCATATACAAGTATGAAGAGCTGCACAAACTTAAGCTACCAATTAGAAGTGTGTCACTTTCTAATCTAACGAATCAGGGTAAATTTAGTTTTTCAAAAACAACGAAATACAAAAACTTTAATTTGGTTCCAGCAGCCAATGTGGAGTTTTTGAATTTGGAAGACTTGTTCTTCAACGACATCAATATCCCACTCAACAAGATAGCCTATCCGCCTTACGCAATGCCACGTTTCTCTGATGAGGCAGATTCAGGCTTAGCTTTCGCTACAAATGTCTTATTACCTTTACAAAAGCTCTTCAATTACAGTTTCGATATTAAACCCCAGCTGCAGCTGTTTTCTGAAGGAAAATTTAATGCTGATTATGTTCTGTTGAATCCTGAAAATAGAAATGAATACTATGTCGCAGTCCATATGAAAAAGTGGATGCAGTTTACTGCGTTAAAAACCATCAATGTAACAGATCAGGGGATAAGAGATGCATTATGTGAGCCAGTGGCAATAGACATTGATAGTTTACCTGATATACTAAATGAAGATTGGTTCAAGAAGACAGACAAAGACAACGACCTTGATGCTTGGATGGAACGTGTTGGCTTCATAAAGCGGAAGAATAAGAATGGCAACGAAAGTTACGATCATTTGAAGGAGGAAGCCAGGCAGATAGGAAACAGCAAGACAGAATATTAGTACTTGTTACTTAAAGCCAAAAATCACAAGAAGAGGGGAGAAACCGATGGCATGTACAACTTCCGAATGGGGATAAAGCAACTCTATGCCTATCTACGTGCGATGAGGTTGAAACAAGCTTTTGGCATCCTGACATCGTACTGCCATACCTATTTTGTCATTTGTAAATATGACTGTCCGACCAAGGAACATACATTACAAGTTTCAAATTGTGTGAGGTATGACCAAGACATCATTAAAAAGGTGACTCAATTTATTCACTTCACAATGAACTCTGAAAGGAAAGAGATCACGAACATNTATACAGGGTTCTGATGCACCTGGAAAGTGAGGATTTTCATTAGTGTTTGGAAAAAGTCATGGAAAGTAATTATAAGTAATTAAACCTATCATACAATTTGCCAAACAACACTAAACTGATAACAAATATTTTAGATGAAAGTTAACTTAAAAGAATGCTTTAAGTACATGTTTTCATCATCATAGGACAGCATATATCAATACAATTATAAACTTGATGCAATATGTTGATTAATAGCACTGAATTCAATTTTATTTCTATGATGGATTTTATAAAGTTCAGGAAATTTATTAAGAGAGAAATTTAATAAATATTTACTTTTGTACATGGATTATACAGGATTTGTTAATGAATAAAAAATAATGGCTTTTTATTTTTTTCAAAGCCACATAGATTTATGACTGTGGATTAATAACAGAATAAACTATTTTTAATTAAATAAAACTTATTCAACAATTATAAAAAGTCATATACTGTTTTATTTTATCAATGTGCTGTACTATGAGGGTCGGAATTTACAAAGTTGGTCGGGACGTCATGGAATTTAAAACAAACATTTGAGTAGGAACACTATATGCATGAAATTTGAAAAGTCAAACTTCCTTATAAAATTTTAAATTGATTAAATTTACATACTTGACAGACTATTTCAAAATTGAAAAGAATGCACTTCAAGACAAGGAAGGTGTTTCATGTAAGAGAAAAAATTTATTTGAAATATTGTAAGTGTCAGAAATATTTGCAGTGAACATAGGACAATAATATGTTCAACTGTCAGTTATGTGTTTACTATTTATTAGATTAATTATCTGATGTTTGCCACACTTATTAAAAACGAAAACTAAATAAAAAATGTTTTTATGATAATTTGTTTGAATTTTCAGTTATCTCAAGATTCCTGTTTTTAAAATAAAAATAAATGATTTATAATACACAAATAATATAATTAACATTTTATTTAAAAATCATAAAATAGTAAAATTATTCATTTAATCAGTTTTTTTTAACTATATTTAATATATCTTTTAAAATTTTTAATTTTTCATTTTCAATTTCCTCTAATTTCTTCCACCTTTTTTCCTCTAATTCTTCCTGTTTTTTCATAAAATTTAAAAACCACTCTGGAGGCTCAGATGATGATTTTTTTTTCTTTCGTGGTGGTGATGAGGACGACGATGGAGGAGGAGGAGGTGGTGGTGATGACAATGGAGGTGATGGTGAAGGTGGTGGTGATGAAAGTGGCGGTGCTGGTACTGCTCTTTTTTCAAAAGTTGAAGCTAGCAGTGTTTCCGGAGGAGGACTAACATTGGCTTTTAAACCAAAGAAGTGGTCGAAATCTTCATGGAACTCCCAAAAAGGAAGTCGACCACTTCCAGATTTTCTCATCTGGTCTTTCCTCCTCCTATAAGTTAAAATTAAATTTCGCCACTTCCGATCGCATTCAACTGCTCCTACATTGACACCTTCTTTTTTCAACTTAACACTTGCATCTCCCCATAGTTTGACTTTTTTACAATTCGGCTTCTCAAATAATGTGTCCATTTCTTTTCGAATTTCAATAAGTTTTTTTACTGCAAATGATGTCCAAACATTTTCCTATGAAAAATGAAGTTTCATCAGCATATTTAAGTGTAAATTTTATAAAACTATTTTAAACATTACTGTTACTAAGTAAAAAAGGCTACTTAGACATGTTATTCAATAACAAAAATATAAAGAATGTATTAGTTTTATTTAAAATATATAATTAAATACTTACAGAATCTGATTTGTTTTCTTTGTTATTTGCTGAAACTGAGGCTTCATTAGTATTTAAATCTGCAATTTAAAATATGATTACTTTTTTTCATCTATCCACCTTATAAGTTTTACTTAATTAAACATATATGTATGTCTGATATTATGAGATAACTGCTTATATATAATTTAAACTATTTCATTTACATTTTACAAAATAGATTATATAATTTTAAAAAATATCTATTAAATTATCTAACCTTTATTTTCTTTGTTCTCATGGTTGGGGAACATTAATTTAAAATACTCTTCTTTAAAGGCATTGTCTGGAAAATATATAAATTATAATCAAATCTCACAATACAAGAAATCATATATAATTGAATAATTTTCAATTATTCTCTATTCAATCTGCACATTTAAGTATTAAATATAACATAATAATTAATATATTACATATAATTGAATTATATAAAAACAATCGATAACAGCTATACTTTAATAATTCGAAAGTACATTTAATCTGTAAATTTACCTGTTGTTAATCTTTCCATAACATTCTTGTCGACAATTACCTCGACTTTTTTGTTATCGCTGCTGGTTAATACCACATTATACATGCATGCGTCCATTGTGCTTTAAACGTGTAGCGAACGTAAAAGCTGCTTTATCTTCGCTGCAGCGACCTCTTGCAGCAAACGTTTAGAAACGGTTCGCTACATTGCAGCGCTGCATTTAGAAACGGGTTTCAGAGAGTTCGCTGTAAAGCGCTTCTCGAGCGCTGCATAAAGAAACGC